GCCTTGGTATGTAAGTGTGACTGTGACCGCAACAGACACAAGGCCATCTCCCATTCAGTCCTCACCTGACCAGCACCTCACCTGACACTAATGTACATCTTCATTGACATTGCCCCCTAGTTTGACAGTGTTAGTTAGTGGCAAGATTGTGAGTGGCCTTGGTATGTGAGTGTGACTGTGACCGCAACAGACACAAGGCCATCTCCCACTCAGTCCTCACCTGACCACCACCTCACCTGACACTAATGTACATCTTCATTGACATTGCCCCCTAGTTTGACAGTGTTAGTTAGTGGCAAGATTGTGAGTGGCCTTGGTATGTGAGTGTGACTGTGACCGCAACAGACACAAGGCCATCTCCCACTCAGTCCTCACCTGACACTAATGTACATCTTCATTGACATTGCCCCCTAGTTTGATTGTGTTGGTTAGTGGCAAGATTGTGAGTGGCCTTGGTATGTGAGTGTGACTGTGACCGCAACAGACACAAGGCCATCTCCCACTCAGTCCTCACCTGACACTAATGTACATCTTCATTGACATTGCCCCCTAGTTTGACAGTGTTAGTTAGTGGCAAGATTGTGAGTGGCCTTGGTATGTGAGTGTGACTGTGACCGCAACAGACACAAGGCCATCTCCCACTCAGTCCTCACCTGACACTAATGTACATCTTCATTGACATTGCCCCCTAGTTTGATTGTGTTAGTTAGTGGCAAGATTGTGAGTGGCCTTGGTGTGTGAGTGTGACTGTGACCGCAACAGACACAAGGCCATTTCCCACTCAGTCCTCACCTGACACTAATGTACATCTTCATTGACATTGCCCCCTAGTTTGATTGTGTTGGTTAGTGGCAAGATTGTGAGTGGCCTTGGTATGTGAGTGTGACTGTGACCGCAACAGACACAAGGCCATCTCCCACTCAGTCCTCACCTGACCAGCACCTTACCTGACACTAATGTACATCTTCATTGACATTGCCCCCTAGTTTGACAGTGTTAGTTAGTGGCAAGATTGTGAGTGGCCTTGGTATGTAAGTGTGACTGTGACCGCAACAGACACAAGGCCATCTCCCATTCAGTCCTCACCTGACCAGCACCTCACCTGACACTAATGTACATCTTCATTGACATTGCCCCCTAGTTTGACAGTGTTAGTTAGTGGCAAGATTGTGAGTGGCCTTGGTATGTGAGTGTGACTGTGACCGCAACAGACACAAGGCCATCTCCCACTCAGTCCTCACCTGACCACCACCTCACCTGACACTAATGTACATCTTCATTGACATTGCCCCCTAGTTTGACAGTGTTAGTTAGTGGCAAGATTGTGAGTGGCCTTGGTATGTGAGTGTGACTGTGACCGCAACAGACACAAGGCCATCTCCCACTCAGTCCTCACCTGACACTAATGTACATCTTCATTGACATTGCCCCCTAGTTTGATTGTGTTGGTGTTGGTGGCGGGATGAGTAATGCTGTAGTACAGTACAGCTGTTTTTGTTTTTAAATTTGTTTTCAATGTAATTCTTATGGGGAAAATGTGAACTTTGAGAGCGTCTCGTGCCCTTAAGGGTAAGAGTTTTTAAATTCTAAAACCTTTATGCAAAACTACAAATTGAGACGAATTATTTGACACCTCAAACGTTAAAATCTGTCTAGAAATAACGGAGGAGTTTTGTTCACCAAAAATGGCCCTCATGTCTTAATATAAGAGACTAGCTGGCCCGACAGACATCGTCCTGTCCTAATGTGGTTAAATAAATAAATAAAAAGGCCTTTATTTACGTGAGAGTTTCATAATACATGGTTTTCAAACTAACTCAAGTCACTAAATCTAAACTATCCTAATATATTTACATAAGTATTACAAACAAATTACAACAGAATAAATTACAATATACATTTTACATTTGTTTTTTTCATTGCGGCCCTGAATGTGTAGTACGATTTTGAACACTTGATCTCTTGAGGGAGGCCATTGTACAACTGCGGGCCGAAATAAGAAAAAGACTTTCTTCCAGCCTCAAGCCTCACTTTAGGAAAGTGAAGCCTGCGGTCGGAGCGAGTACTACGCAGACAGATCTCCCTCCTGTACTTCAGCCTCTCGCTGAGGTAATGAGGCTCTCCCAGCGGGAACTCTTGCCATATCCTCCTTAGAGATGCTGTTTCCATATGCAGGAAGCAATATGTGAAGGCTGGAAGGACCAAGGACCGGTTGGTTTTATGTCAAATGCTCGTTCATTTTAAAGATGAGCTGGTTCGCATTGCTCAATCACGTCCTGGTTGAAGTTTGTTCGCTACGCTCACTCACCTTTAGGTTGGAGCTCGTTCGCTGCGCTCACTTGCCTTAAGGTTAGCCCGTTCGCTACCCTAACTCGCCTCCAAGTTGAAGTTCTTTCGCTACGCTCACTCATCTTCGTTCGCTGCGCTCACTTGCCTTCAGCTTAGCTCGTTTGCTACGCTAACTCGCCTCCAGGTTGAAGTTAGTTCGCTACGCTCACTCACCTTTTGGTTGAAAATTATTTGTTGTCATAAATTTAAATAAATAATAGTGCTTTACCCTGTTGGTAAACCTATTGACTTTTTAATGCTATTGAACATCACATAATCAAATTGTTTAGTTGAACCAGCTGTTAAGATTCTTTAATTCCATTTAAATATGAGTACTCATAAGGTTAACATATGAAACTCCAGAGCCACGGGGGTGGAGCCCTTTTGACGGATCTGCACCAAACTATCCTTGAATAATGCTTAATCTTAAAATCTGTCGAGCGGTTTCGTAATCCATAAAGGACAAACAAACAAACATACATTGGATTTTATATCTCTATATATAAATGTGAAATTCCGATCAATGCCCAGGCCAAACCATTGCACATAGATGAACGAGATTTTGCATACATATTCCTCTCATAGCGTAGGCAGACAATAAGAAGCGATTTTACAAAATTCCCAATGGGCTCCCCCCCACAGAAGATCAAAGTTAGCATGGAGTTTGTATAGGAAGAATAATTTGTTTTGGGTTTTTGTTTACATTTGTCTGCAATTTATTTAGCCTAATCATCAGCTGTTAGAATACAAATTAAGTTTACTAAGTTTATTTCAGACTATATAAACATCATAGTTGTGTGTCAGTGAAATTAACCTAATTTACTGTGTCATTTGAGTTTTATCAACTTCTAATAAAATGTGTGATTAGTGTTGAAGAAAGTAGAATTGAACTTAGTTTTTTATTGAATTTGAATTTTTAAGTGAGAACTTGTGATATATAGTTCTGTTAATATTTTTCCTACAGTCACCTAACAATGTAAATTTTCTCTCACTGATTTGAGAAAGCAAAGTGGCCAATTTGCTCATCAGTGAGACTATGTTAACATTGTCTCACTCTAATTACTTAGTCTCACTCCAGATTTGCAACGTGAAGGCACGTTTCTTTACCAATTTATTTGTTTTATGGTAACTGTAGGAAAAATATAATGTGCAACTCGAGTGCAAAGTGCAATCACCTCACTCGAGAAACCATTCCTCACTCGAGAAACCATTCCTCACTCGAGAAACCATTCCTCACTCGCCTACCATTCCTCCACTCGAGTGAGGCAATTGCTCACTAGTTGTACAAATAACTATTGTAGTTTTTTAAACTGTTTCATAGTATCTACACTGAGGTTAAATGTTAATGGCAAGTTCGTTCCACACAATAGGCCTATCATTCACATCAGAGGAGACGAAGCGTGTTTATTTATTTCACCGTCATTTATAATTCACCTTCTCACATACACACACTAACTGTGTGCGAAGCAATTGTTGAAAATGTGAAGAACTGGGACTACTTTTCAATCTTATTCTACGACAGTGACGGGAATAATTACCTAAATTCTAGGGAATACTTCTATTAAATGTCTAAGCCATTTACCTTTGGTGGGTTGTGTGGGCTGGTTGTAGCTTAACAACTATTCAAATTTGTCAAGTTAAGTGATGGACGTAATTCCATGAAAAGACTCAGATTTACACAATCCCTGTATAGCGGGCACTTCGACGTTTTAGAGCCACAAAAAGAGCCTGTTTATCCCAATCATCAGCCAATTCCGGAATCTCAACAAAATACATTAAGGCGTAAACGGTGTAGCAGGTGCACAGACAAACAAAGAAATAGCAGGTGAAGAACGCAAGCAATAGGTTTAAACAAACTCATCCTGAAATACATTTGCCAAAGATTTAATGGATGGTGACACATCTATCAACAATGACATATAATCCGAAAACAGACTATAAAGGAAATAGCTCGGTGGTAATAGGTACCATGACGTTCAAATTTAAGTGTACTGCGAAGCCTTAAAATGGAAAGAAGAAACACCGGGCATGTACTGCAATGGTGGTAGTGCAACTACTACCTTTGAAGCACCTACCTAAACATTTATGCAGTCTGGTCATGGGTAACCATCCTGAGCATATACATTTTTTGGTCCGGGTGAGACATTATGATAGCTGCTTTAATATGACATCGATTGGAGCAAAACAGGTTGTAGCTGAATTGTTGACTGAAGGCTGTTGGCACTTGAACACTAATTTATTAAAAATTTCAACCTTTCTGAAAGTTTCTGTTGCGAAGCACGGGTATTCCGCTAGTATATACTAATTCATATGAATACAAAAAAATCTTAAACGTAACGTAAAATGAGTACTGTACTTTTAAACATTGATAAAACCAACTTTTTATATCATGTTCAATTTTTTGAGGTATAAGAGCTGTAGTATAACTATTCAACTATATTCTTACCAAGTTTAAAGAAAATCTGTTGAGAAACAGCGTCTGAAACAAGGGATGAAATTAACATGTTTTGTCCCAAACGCCGGCTCGCCGACGGGAGGTTACTGCGCTACTAGCCTTTTACAAAACTTGGCTCAGGCGGCAGATGAGTCACGAACGCGTCGGAACCTGTCGCTGTCCGCTGTCCACACACCACACTAGAGAACTACTTCGTTACAATTAGTTTCTGTTGTAGCATGAGGTGCTGGCCATCACAGAGAAGGTGGTACTGAGGGTGGAGGATCTACTGACATGGATCACGGAGGCACAGGACTGGTCCTGGGGTCTGTCAGCAGTGTACGACCACTCAGCCACATTGATGCCTCGTCCGGGGCTCTTAGCTGACAACTGCGTGATGGACCTGACTGAGGTTGACAAGGAGAAGGACCTGTTAGGTAATTCTCACTTTTGTTATAAAAAAACAATACTTAGAATGTTAGTTTTATTGAAAAATGCTAGCCAAAAGTATTGTACACTTAATATTGTAACCCTGAAAGAATGTCCCCTTTTACTATTGAATTGTGCTAGAAAAAAACAAATACAGTACTGTTTTACTTAAATGTAACTGATTATCAGGGATGTATTTCCCTCTACACCAGTGCCTGGGAGTGTTGGAAAAGGCAAAGGGTGCTTCATTAAAGATTTGTGTGACTGATGACCAAAACCTGCAAAACAATTAGGCCTAAGCTTACTTCTAAATTTAAATGGTGCCTTTTCACTGCTGTCCTGCTCATAAACAAGTTACATCGTGCCTTGAAGCAGAGAATATGTAAATCGGTTCTGTATTGTGTACTATATATGTATATATATATTAATAAATGAAATAAATTATTAAACATTTAGTACCCTTTTTTTTAAGTTATTAATTTATTGAATAAACTTACATGTTTCGGCTCTTAGGCCATGATCACAGTTATGAACAAATAGTAAATAAATAGAAATGTAAATAATAAATAAGTAAATTATCATATGATTTTGGAATTTTGTCTAGTATATAGGTTGGCTTAAGTGTTGTTTTCTTTTGATTTATTATATAAGATTTTTTCATATATTATGTTTTCTTTTTGAATTTGCATTGTATTAAGTATGTTTTCAGGATCTTTTTTATGGTATCTATATATGTGGAATTCTTCTTTAATGAATAATTTGGCTTTGTTTGGTTCAAATTCAATTATTGATAAATTATTTTCTTTATTTTGATATTTATGATTAGTTTTTATTAGGTGTTCTGCGTAGTTTGATTTCATACTTGTTGAATTTTTAGATTTAAATGCCTGTATATGTTCTTGGAATCTACATTTGAAGCTTCTACTAGTTTGGCCAATATAATACTTGTTACAGTCTGTACAGGAAATTTTGTAAATACCGCTTTTGTTAAATTTTGATGATTCTTCAGTTATTTGTTGATGTTTGGACACTTTTGAATTTATAATCTTAACCCTTTCAGTGCTAGGCCAATAATTCATATTTTATAAGACTTTTTTGTTTGCCTTTTAATTCCATTACCCGTTGTTGAATTTTAACTGTCATGTTGTCACTATTTTATTAATTAGGCTAATTTTGAATAATAACACAATAAGAAAATATATAAGAAAGATAAATCCCGGTATTTGTAGTAAACATCAAATAAAACTTAGTTTTTGTTGTAATTTTCCTGGTTTTCCTATAAATTTTTATGTTCTGATAGCATTATTTGAAACCGAAATCTCACAAAATCAAAAGACACATAGTTTACAATGTAATATTGAATTTAACCCTGATTTAGTTGGACGAGGTTATTGTAATATAGCAATTTTAGGGAAACTAATGTTTTGCAGCAAAGTCTCAGGAACACATTTACTACTACTAAAACTAAAAGATTGCATCTAAATAGTCCGTGACTAGCTGGTGCTGCTACCTAGTAACGCATTGAACAACTATCTGCAGCGCCATCTGTTCGCAATCGGTGGCGACAGCTTAAATACCGGGTTTTGACTCCCCAGTCTTCAAGCACAGATAGCCGAGAAGGCTAGGGCGTGTGTCACTTAGCCAGTGGCATTCGTCTGCTCGGGTTCGAATCCCGTCCTGTGTGGCAAATAATTGGTGACCTGTGTGTTTGTAGCGATATACTACAACCACTGGGGCATAGTGAGGTGTTCATAATCCTTGGTTTAGACATACACCTCGAAATCATCGGATTGGGCGAATCTTTTAGCTAAGTGGTTGGTAGTGTATCCTATGAACATGCAGGTCACCAATGGCCGTTTTGCTATTTTTTTTTAAAATAACCTTCCTCTCTATATCCCTTAGGGTTTTTTTAAAACAACGATATATCGTTTCATAGCACTGAAAGGGTTAAAGACGTTGTTTTTTGTTCTATATGTTGCTTTGTAATTTGTTTTAGATTAGGTTTCCTTATTGCTTTATTTAATTTAGAGTTATGAGGGAGACATATGTATTCTTTTTTCAATTTCTCTTCTTTTTTTCTTTTGTTTCTTAATTTTGTTTTTTATCATATTATCAATAAGATTGTCTTTATATCCATTTTTGGCTGCAATATATTTTATTATCTTCTTTTCTTTTTCAAAATTTGTTTTGTTTAGGGGCAATGTTATTAGTCTGTAAATCATATATATATATATATATATATATAGACCTCATATATATATATACAGGGTGCGGCAAAAAAACCGATCTATTTTCTGAAGAGCACTGTTCAGCGACAGGTCGTCTGAGAGTGGTGGGAGTAGGCTCGTTGGAAAGCGTACACAATGCTATTTTCTAGTCATAGAGCTGTGGTCACCTGAGCTAGTGCGGTTGTTATGGGAGTGTTTTTGATTAAATATTTAATTCATACATTGCTACTCAGCGGCAGTTTCATGCATTCTTTCAACTAAGGTGACATGGAGAAGTTCCGGTGCGTAGCACAATAATGCGGTGGGTTACTTACTTTAGGACAACGGCTTCTGCGTTAAAAAGGAAGCTGACAGGCCTTCCAAAGTCAGATCGGACGCCAGACAACAAACATTCGATAGAGTTCGTGCTGCTGTGGAAAACAGTCCTCGTAGGCCAGCCCGAAAACAAGCGGCTGCCTTGAACATGTCTGACCGCTCAGTTATACGAATTTTGAGGTTAATTTTCATCCCTATGGATTAGAATAATAATGTGTATAATTTGGTAATCATCCATACAGATTATTACGACGGAAACTCTTATGTTGACCTAATTGAATAAAAGCACGGAACTGCCGCTGAGTTGCAATGACTAAATCATTACCTTTTTAAAACGACTCGATAACAACCGCACGTAGCTCATACGACCACTGCTCTATGACTACACAAAATGGCATTGCATAGGCTTTCCAACGAGCCTACTCCCACCACCCTCAGACGACCTGTCGCTGAACAGTGTGCTACAGAAAATGGATCGGTTTTTTTGCCGCACCCTGTATATATATCATTATGCTTTTACTATTGCATTAAATTTTCAAATACTGTTACATGTTATATTTCCAAGGATAAATCTCTTTTGCCTTAATTGAAACCTTTCACAGAGTTTGATGTGTTTGCCTTATATTTAAGAGAATTTTTATCAGAGGATGGATAACTTTAGTGCAGCAGGCTACTGTAGTTGACTGTGCAATGTGCAGGTAAACAACACTGGGACACAGCCAGTGGTGTGGTGGTGCTCAGTTTCCCCCGCTATTGTCGCTACCGAGGTATACTGAAGCGCTTGGAAGGAGTACACAACAAGTGGCTGAGAACTGCCCTGGTGGCTGCCTTGGGAGGCTTCATAGTACCTTGCCGCAACACCAGAGTCCTCTACTGCAAGGAGACGTTTGACTATCCAGACCTAGAGGGCCATGAGCTGCTCTGTAACCACCTAGGTAGGCAGTAGGCATACAAAACAACTCTCAACTTATCATGTATGCTTGTTGATTGCACACTCTATGTTTGAAAAATAAATGTTAAACTGTAAATAGTGTAAATTTTAAAATTAGGTCCCAAACCTAACTACTTTAATTAAATGCCAGAGTATTGATACAGATAAAAGTGTGAAACTACTACTTCCAGAAGTGAAGAGTTCATATTATATGAAAAGCGTTTATTGTTTATTAATTATTCATAACTTAAATTATAGATAAAATCATATTCAAATTCAAACCACTGGAAAACATGGCAAAATCCATGTACGAGTCGGCCTAGTTGAAGTTATTGTCTGGTGAAGTTATTATCAAACAATGCTATCAGTCATGTTAACCTAACACAATTAGTTGATTTAATTGTTGTTTTAAAATATTTCCAAACAATATAAAACTTTTGACCTTTTTCATCCCCCATATAGCTCCCAAACTAAAAGGAAGGCCTCGGAAAAAACGGAAGCTACTGGACCTTTCACAGGAGTCTTCGGATTCAGATTCAGAGTCTTCATCTGTTTCTACATCCTCATCCTCTACAAAGGTTATTTCATATAACTAGTTTTATTAAGATAGTACTCAGATTCTTAAATATGTCAATTGTTTAGGGTCAGTTGGGGTGACCAGGGGAAAATTATGCCAGCGTCATTTTTTAAAAACCTAATGTCAGTAAAATTTTTAAAAAAATGTGTTTTACATGGTTTTATATGTCTATTTTGTTTTGGCAACCTGATGTAAATAGTTGTTAAAGGAAAACATCAGGTAAATATTTTAATAATTATAAAATACGTAACAAATTTTCAATTATTGGTTTCTACATAATGCACATGCGTTGATTCAAAGTGACCCCAACCCTAAAATTTTTGTTTGTTTGAAGGAATTTATGTATATACTAATCCTATTAAGTTTTTTTTCTACTTTTGATTATCATTTTCCATATCCATTAAAAGTTGTAATATAAAAGTATACAAGATGCTAGCCCGTCCTGCGTACGGGAATTGAGTTGTCAGTTAAAACTGTGTACAATTCAGAGCAGCTAGTTTACACGTATAAAGACAAAATATTTTCTTGCAGTTATAATGTGAAAAATCATCTTGTAAACAAATGTTGCGTGGCCAAATATGTATTATTCCATCATAGGCCTATACGATATGCATTTTAAATCCTATAATTTTACAATAAAACAGCAATTGTGACGATGTGAAAAGCGTTGAAGTGAGATTTGCGGCCGATTCACACACTGATTATAAGTAGCCTACAGTAGAGAGTAATAGCTTTGACTATTAATATAATAATTCAGTATCATTAGTCAATGGTAATAGTCAATTGAGAAGTGTATAGACCTAGTCAACAATAACACCTTCCATCGCATACCTGCTAATTATTATCACCACAATTCAATTACTCATACTATACACAATTTCCAGTAGGTCTGAATAGAAACTACCTAAAATAAAAATATATTATCCAATAAAATTCACAGTAGGAATACACATAATATAACTTTGGTATCCTATCATCATTAAACGTATCAGTTTCACTGAATCAATTGCTAAATAAATAAGAGTAAACAAAGAAAAGTAAAATCAATAACATAAAGTTTGTTAAGAATTATAGCTGTTTGGTTAAAATAACATTCATTTGAAAAGGAACTGGTCACATGTTGAAGGAATTTAAAAAGTAAACACGCTAGTAAAAAAAGCTAGTGACGTAATTATCTATATTAATAATTTATACCGTTATCAGTTCTAATATCTGTAATAATTACCCACCTATTGAATCAACCTACATCGTAATTTCCCATATTAATTTATTAAAAGTATAAGATATTTATAGTTGAAATAAAAGTGATATTTTGCCTACATCAGCGCCTCCTAAAGTAACCACAACTGAACACACACCAAACAACCTTTTTTTTGATTTCATAAATGATGATTTGTCTAATTGCAGTATCCTAGGTCAATGATGCCGCTGTGTTCAATCTATGTCATCCATCAGTTTATCTTTGAATAAAACTCGGCTTAAGGTTGTGGTGGTAATTTAAAATCGTGATTCCCGATTATTCTTGATCTCTTTTCTATGACATCAATATTTCTGAGCCTTATCCAAACAAATCGTAAGCAGACTAACATTAATTGTTAACAAAAAGCTACCAAGACGAATTAATACATTATTATATATAATAATCTACTTACGTATCACGTATGCCAGTAGGTGTCAATTATTGTAGTTGATTATGCTGTACATGTTTCAAGCCTAGTAATACGGCTCATCTTCAGCAGCATTTTTCTATGTACAATTTTCACATCGAGAGATGATTGTCGACTATATACAGGAACCACATATATACACAAACACAGAACATTTTAGCATGCTATTTTTATTTACATATGTTTTTGTAGCGTACGCTCGTTGAGATAATACCCGACCGGACGACATTTGTAGGCCTACTCTAGGTAGGAGGTCTATCTAGGAGTAGGCCTACAAATGTCGTCCGGTCGGGTATTATCTCAACGAGCGTACGTAAATGAAAAATAAGAAAACCCAAAATTTAGAAAAAGAAGAGAAGAAGGAGTTTATTTGTCTTCCGTACAGTTCGGTATTAAACAAACCAATCAGAAAAACATTTCAAGCATCCAAATTCAAAATTAGCTATAGATCTAGAAACAAGGCATTCAATTTAATTAATAAACTATCAAACAAGAACTCACATGCAATTGACAAACAATTGACAAATATAACAAATCTGGAATATACAAAATTAAATGTCTAAATTGTCCCAAATTCTACATTGGTCAGACTGGAAGAACATTTTCATGCAGATTCAAAGAACACATCCAAGCCATAAAATCAAACAATCAAACATCTCAACGATCAATGTATGCAGAACATATATTAGAAAATAATCATAATTATGGCAAATTAGAAGAGTGTGTCAAAATTCTAAATTTTGAGAAAAAGGGAGAAAAAATGGATATAAAAGAAGAATTACAAATATACCTACATTCAAAAGAACACGACGACCAAATTCTCAATATAATGCAAAAACAAAAACAAAATCCAATTCATGAAAAAATCAGACAAATCAGAGAAAAATCTTACACATCTACATGTTAAAAAATACACCTAACCATTTAATCAAAATTTTACTATGAATTCAAACATATGTTATTAACTATTTATTTATTTTAATTGTTTACATACTTTCATAACACTCATACTGTGATCATGGCCTTAGTGCCGAAATATGTATCAGTTTAAATAAAAAATGAATTTCAGGGTACTCTGGTTTTTATTACTTTGCTTATTAATTGAAAAAGTTGCCCTAAAAAGTGAACAGAACTATCAAAATATAAATCTATATATATAAAACAATTTTTATGAATAGTGTTTTTGTTCTCTGGGGACATCAAAATGAAAAAGTAAATTGGTCCCGTGCCTAGGTCTTACCGTGCCACCTACGGTAATAGCTACTTCCCTATAGGGAAATTTGCTAAAAGTGGTCATTATTACCCCAACTGACCCTATTTATGGAGTTATTTTAGCCTTAAACGTGAAAATGGTTTATACAGCATTATTGTATGTTATTGATTCGAATATTTCTACATGTTTATTTTAGATTATTTATATAGATGAATACAAAGATACAAATCGCAAAATTGTATGGAAATCCAATAATCAGGAACTACAGTAACAATTTCAGTAAAATTGCTCTTTGAATACGGTACAGTTTGCCAAGTTCCACATACTTCATGAGATTCAGAATTAAATTATTACGAGCTGGTATACCCTTCCTTCGCAACAGGGGAAGTATGTGAAAGAGAATAATGCTGTTTTTAGTGAATTTCCCTATAGGGAAGTAGCTATTACCGTAGGTGGCACGGTAAGACCTAGGCCTGGGACCGATTTACTTTTTCATTTTGATGTCCCCAGAGGCCAAAAACACCATTCATTCAAATTTTATACATGTATATATATATATATATATATATATAGATTTACATATCTATCTAATATATAAAATTCTCGTGTCACAGTGTTTGTCTGCAAACTCCTCCGGAACGACTTCACCGATCGTTATGAAATTTGGTGTGTAAATTCTGTAGGTATGCGAATAGGAAGTAAACTATTTCCCGTTTCGAAATTCTTAAAAGGGCTCCGCCCCAGTGGCTCTGGAGTTTCCCATGTTAACCTTATGAGAAATGGAATTAATGAATCTTAACAGCTGTTTCAATTAAACAAGTTGGTTCTGTTCTATGACCAATAGCAACCAATAGCATTAAAGTTACAAGTATTACCAACAGGGTGCAGCACTATTATTTCTTTTACATTTATGACAACAGCTAATTTGCAACCAAAAGGTGAGTGAGCGTAGCGAACAAACTTCAACCTGGAGGCGAGTGAGCGTAGCGAACGAGCTAACTGAAGGCAAGTGAGCGCAGCGAACGAGCTCCAACCTAAAGGTGAGTGAGCGTAGCGAACGAGCTCCAACCCAAAGGTGAGTGAGCGTAGCGAACGAACTTCAACCAGGACGTGATTGAGCGATGCGAACGAGATCATCTTGAAAATTAAACGTAACGGTACTTTCTTTCCATCGGTCTGTCTTAGGGGAAACCTATAACTTAGGCGATACGAAGTTCGCTGGGTCAGCTAGTATATATATATAGATTTACATATATATATATATATATACGTCCGTGAACGCGATAACTTGAGTAATTTTTGTCCGATTTAGAATCAATTTGGTTTAAAGGTGTAAGGCAGGATAAACTTGAATAAGTTCGCGAAGCAGCATGATCGGACAATGGGAACGGGGTTTTATGGGGTAAAAAATTGTTTTTCTCATTTTCGACCCTCAAAACACAAAATTTCCCAATTTCTCTCTAGACCTTTTTAAAGAGCTTAAAAAACAAATAATTTAGTATATCAAAGTGTTTTTGTACGGTTAGGCCTATTAGTAACGGAGAAAATTCAAAAAATTATAAATTTAAAATTCCAATGTTATTCTTATGGAGAATATTGTAAAATGTTGTAGTTTGCTTGTTTATGGATATATTTTGATAAAACTTGGCAAATTATTTATTTTACACTAAGCTATTAATATTTTACTAAAAAACCCCACAGTAGTTTCCTTGTAGCAGCAAACCTAGGTACTCGTTAAACCTAATGTTATTTAAATAGATTTAATTAAAAATCAATTCAGACAAACGGAAATTCGCTTAGTCGGCAGGTTTGCTGCGGCGGGGGTATTTTTAGATCTGCTGTATGTAAGAGTTACCCTTAACATCTATTATTTACTTAAAAAATAAAACCCTTATTCTATCACTTATTGCAGTAAAATTCTTTACTTTCAAATCAGATAAAGAGCTAATAATTTCGAATTAATTACCTATTTCTACTAAACAATGGATCTTTGAAAGTGAACTCTAGATAGTTGAAATTGTTGAAACCCAGGGAGGGAGGCGAGGGCAGATCCCTAAGGAAATTACCTTTTTCATTACCATTGGTCTCTGCGCTAGATCATAAGCTTAAAAATGACACCTCATACGTGAAAATTGGTTAAGTAGGACAGCTGAAAAAGGGATGTTACCAAAAGATGTATGTGTTAAATAAAATAAAGTTATAAAAAAATAAAATTCTTTGTGTTTGGTAGCTCATTTCATACTCCTATTTCACTATACAAAACTCATATAACCCAATTACAAATTTTAAACAGGAGACATTTGTCAAACTGACATATTTATCATGTCCATCTTGTTCTTCAACGAATTGTTAGACATAATTGTCTTTGGTTTAAGAAAACCTAGACACTTTTTATAATGTAACCATCACATGAGGTATTTGTAGGTTAGTGTATATTTTAGTGAGGCAAATAATTCATGCCTAGTGTTTTTTGGTCGGTGGGCTATAGTGTTGATTCCCAAAATCCTAGAAAATCAGCAAGTTAATTAGGGAGCCTAAAATTATAAGATTTAATATGTTTGTGAGTAATTGCAATGTTATTTCCACTGTGTACAGGCCAAGTCAGTGACCCCGGTAAAGCAGATATCTCTAGTGGCAGCTCCCAGACGAGGTCCTCGTGGCCCGCACCAGCCTTCAGAAGAGAAGGACTTCTTTGCTAAGCTGCAAGCCTTCATGAGGTCTCGTCAGACTCCCATAAGCAGGGTTCCTACTATAGGCTTCAAGGAATGTGAGTACTTCACACCTTACTGTTGCCAACAATAAAGCATCATTCATTTTCATTTTTGTTTGGTACTGCCTCACCTGGTTTAGTACACCGGCCTACGCTAAAATCCTATGTTGGCAAGATAGTTTCAATAGTATAAATACCTCAAATTACTATATGACTAAACTAAGTAAGCTAATATATTGTTCCAACTTAAAGTAATCTGTAATTAAAAGTTTAAGTGGCCGCTGGCAACAAAAATCCTCTCTTACGGTGCTGGAAGCATAGTAAAAAAGGCCAACATGTGGCCATTAATGTGGATGTTTTTCTGCACCTTCATATTGTCTAACCAAGTGAGATCAATTGGAGACCCACTTACCATTTGTCATTAGACTTGACATTATATAGTAACAAGACCAAGGTTTGGACCGTCCCCTTACAAAAAATGTAAAATAGCCAACAATGTGTGTTGAATAGAATAATGGGAACAGTCCAAAAAATGAAAGTTAAAGTATAATAAATACCTTTTGCAGACTTAAATTTGCTTACTGCACTGAAGTGTAGTGGGGTACCCCATGTGTCCTCTTCAACGGCAAACACGGAACTAGCTTCAGAGATAACGTTGGGGTTGACCTTTGATACTAAGGCTGTTTATACAGGTTGGGTGGCTAAGGGATTGGGAAATTGTTGCACTTGATTGTCTATTATGAATACACACAAAACATAAATATAAAACGCATATTAATCAGATTTAAACCAAGCTTTTATCAGTTATTTTAGTCAGAATCACTTTGATTCCCAGTGAACCTTTGGAAGCTGTTCAGCAAAGTACGTCACTTGGGAGGCTATGACACCGTCACGTCCAGTAGGCTGTGGAAGTATGTGTATGAAGAGATGGGCGGAGATCAATCTAGTACCAGTGCAGCTACTTGTTGTAGGCGACACTACGAACGGTAACTCACATTCAATGTGTTATCAATAGACTTAATGTCATGTTCCATTTGTAGACAGTTGAGATTTTAAGTCTTAAGAGATTTGATCACAATTTTTTATTCAAATTTATTACATAACATTGTAATTTAATTATACTTTGTTCACAATATTTAGGCGGTTTTAGGGAAAGAAATCGGTGGCTCAGTCGGTAGTGTCATGGACTTCGGGCCCACGGCAGCGATGTTGTGGGTTCGGATTCTGGTCACTGCTGATAAAATTTATCAGTACAGTTCATCTTTGTACTGTACCGGCTCACCCCTTGCTATGTGGAGGGGCAAATGCAAGGTTAAAAGAGGCCGCCAACCTCTTAAAAAAAAAAAATTTAAACGAGTTGTGATAGATGGTTCATCCACAAATCTAGGAGTCGATGACCATGTCTCCGTTGTCGCAGGAGATGTTTAAGAAGGCACCGCAAACGTGGGACATGTTGACGATGGCGCCGTGAACGCGGAACATATTGACGATGGCGCCGTGAACGCGACACAGCACTGTTGGCGACAGTGCTGTGATGGTGGTAGATGCTCCCACAATGGTGCCACGATCATGAAAAGTTGATGACGATCAGATCAAATTCCATCCCAAGAAAATCCCAAATCTAATGTAATCCCATACCGATGATCGGGAATTTTTTTCCCCCAAAAATTACATTCCCCTGGTCGTGTAGACATAATTTTATCTCCCCCAGTCATGTAGACATCATCATCATTTCCCGCAGTCACAGAAACGTCATCGTCGTCTTGCTCGTTCGCGACAATAGGATAGTGGTATTTCTTCGTCCACGAAATTTTTGCAGACGTGTCGGTATCGGAGTGGTATCGGAGTCGATACCAATGTCAAAGTATCGATGGTATCAAGAATCGATACATCCCTAATTGTTATTATAATTTAGTTTCCTTTAAAAGTCAATCCATAAAATAGTTTAATAAGGTTAAAACTTTGAAAACTCAAGGGCAAAGCTTGTAATAAAATTTAAAATCAGGTGTGTGGAATTGTGAAATATGTATTTGTCAGGTCCGTGAAGTTGCCCTCCCCCCCCCCCCCCATAGAAGCACTAACGATAAAACAAGTATCAATGGTTAGTGCTTCGTTAGTGCTGGTTAGTGCTTCAACACCCATCGTTAGTGCTCTTACGGTTCCGGAGTGGTATCGGAGTCGATACCAATGTCAAAGTATCGATGGTATCAAGAATCGATACATCCCTAATTGTTATTATAATTTAGTTTCCTTTAAAAGTCAATCCATAAAATAGTTTAATAAGGTTAAAACTTTGAAAACTCAAGGGCAAAGCTTGTAATAAAATTTAAAATCAGGTGTGTGGAATTGTGAAATATGTATTTGTCAGGTCCGTGAAGTTGCCCTCCCCCCCCCCCCCCCCCATAGAAGCACTAACGATAAAACAAGTATCAATGGTTAGTGCTTCGTTAGTGCTGGTTAGTGCTTCAACACCCATCGTTAGTGCTCTTACGGTTCAGGAGTTATTACGAAAAAACTATGGATGGGGCCAACTTCACGGAAGTTAGCCCCACCCAGTAGTAAGTAATATATGAGCACTAACTTTCAAAACGATACCAATGGTTATTGCTTCGTTAGTGCTGGTTAGTGCTTCAACTCTCATCATTAGTGCTCTTACGGTTCAGGAGTTAAAATAACAAATTATATACACACAAAAATATATATATGTATATACCTATATATATAGGGTGTCCCGGAACTCTCTACCAATGTTTTAGGGCATTGCTCCTGGGTAAGAAACATACCTAAATATCATATTTAAATTGTCCGGAAGTCCTTAGTTACTCATACCGCTGGAGGTTACTTGCAGCGCATGCTGAAAGTGGTCACGTATCACTAAAACTGCCATATCTCAGTTAATACTTACAGTCCAATCTTAAAAAATAAGGTTTCAAGCGATTTGTAGCCAATGAAATTGCCTAAACAAAATTATTCTTGTAAGTTTTTTGTAAAATTAACGATTTTTGAGTTATTTAAGAAACAAAGTTTTAAATGGCCGTTATTTCGTTTTATGGATTTGAAAAATCTTCAGAATTTTTTGGTAGCTTTTTCTAGGTGTCATAAATGTTTGTACAAAGTTTCCATTTCATATGTTTAACCATTCTTTAGAAACAAGTTAATAACTGAAAAAAACTAAATGGTGGCTGTGTGAGTATCTAAGGACCTTGACACCTTATTTTTTTATGGTTGAACAAGTATTAACTGAGATATGGCAGTTTTAGTGAAACGTGACCACTTTCAGCATGCTCTGCAACTAACCTCCAGCGGTATGAGTAACTAAGGACTTCCGGACAATTTAAATATGATATTTAGGTATGTTTCTTACCCAGGAGCAATGCCCTAAAACATTGGTAGAGAGTTCCGGGACACCCTGTATATATATATTTTGTATATAATTTGTTATTTTCATATAACAAATGTTATATTAAATACACTAATACAATCTCTGGTTTTATTCCTATTTACAAAATATTTTAGTTAACTTTGAACAAGATTTTTAAATAAATATGGACTATCTATATCACATTCATAATAGATATATGTGTATTAAGTCAATCAAATATGAAGAATAATATTTTAAGACAATTGAACCATGCACAATCGTAAAAGGTGTTTTTTTATGCGCTACTTGTACTAAATGCATCCTTAACTCATGTGAGGAGGGAATAATTTATATAAGGAATTTAACCTTTAATTTAATAACCTTTCATTTGGAGCATTTAAAAAATGTTTAGAGCCTAGTTGATACAATTGGGTGGAACTGTAGCACATCACCTGGTGAATATGGCCTCAGAATTAGATATTTCATTAAAACTCCTGGACATTCACTAACCAGCACTAACCATTGATACCATTTTGAAAGTAAGTACTGTATCAACATAGACTGGGGTTGGCTAACTTCCGTGAAGTTGGCCCCCGACAGTTTTTTTAGTTATAGCTCCTGAACCGTAAGAGCACTAACGATGTGAGTTGAAGCACTAACCAGCACTAACAAAGCACTAACCATTGATACTAGTTTTTTCGTTAGTGCTTTTATGGGGGGGGGCCAACTTTACGGACCTGTATTTGTCAGTTATTGTAATTTGTCAGTTTGTCAACGTGAATGTTATCATTGTGATTATCTTCATGGTTGCCATGTAAACCAATCAATGTTCACTTTGAAAAAATTCACCTCAGATCTTTGAAAACCTGTGGGGCAGAGCCCTAGGTCATTATCGAAGTGGAAATAGTCTTACTTTGGCGTGCACCCTAGTAGCAAACGTCAACTACAACTATTAATGGGTGGCAGCGGGGGTCATTATATACAGGGTGGAATAAAATTACCAGGATGGTTAAATGATTCCAAAAATTATAAAGATAGAGCTACAAAACTTGGTACAAAGTTACTCGGCATTACTCCCCATATGGTACATCAGAGTCCGTCAAACCTGAGTTGCATTTCCCTTTCCGCTCAATTGGTGGGGCCCCCGCCATTCGTCGTGGCCGCACGAAGTCCAATGTCGCACCGGGCCCGCCTGTCGCTATGACAACGTAGGCCTATTATGCTAGTTTTGATGTTTGATTTTTTTTTTTTTCAGTTTATGTGTAAGTATTTGGAAAAAGATTATATTTTGGTAAACAATTGAAGTATGCAAATTTGGCTCAAATTAAATGGAGCTGGTGAGAAAATAGGCCTCCGTAATTAGAGTGGAAAGGGCTAATGAACTTCAGCAACCTATCAATTGCCTTGTCAATGAGGTAGGGTAAAGTGCAGAAATTGGTTAGGGAGTTTAAAAGTAAAAGGGGAGTTTGGCCGTAAAAATGTCCATTTCAGAAGAAATTGTGTTTTTGGTGGGGACTTCTCACAGAAGACTGTGATGTAAATTTCCTGCCGGCGAAACTTGGATGGCAACGTAGGAAATTACGCCACCTTAAGGATTGATTGATTGATTGATTGATTGATTCTGTAGGGGCGGACCTTGTCCTGTTGCGCGTCAGCCACTGTTGGGATTTTCGGCTCCCCATATGGTACATCACAGTCCGTCCAACCTGAGTTGCTTAGTGAACTTCAGCATTCTGTCAATGAGCTCCTCCTGAGGAAGGTGTCTGCCCCTTGTCATTTATCCAAGAGTACCATCCCTTATCTCGTTCAGAGCTGTGCAATCATAGAGTAGGTGATCTGCAGTCTCCTCTGATTGCTCACATTTTCTACACGCAGTGTCTCCATTGTGGATCCTCAAGCGATGCAGGTGCAATTTCAGGAATCCATGGCCAGTGACCATTCCTGTGATCTGTCTGAGTTGCCTCCTGTAAAAACCTAGAGCATTGGAGGCGACCGTCTGGGAAAGGGAGAAGAGGGTGAGTTTACTTCCCTGTGTTGCTGAAGCCTAAACCATCTTTTTCTGTATTCCTCTTGGGCCCATGACATGACTAATGACATGCATGCCTACGAGAGATTCCACAGAGAGGCTGTGGTCCCACGAAGTCTGAGGCTGACACGACATTTGCAAGCCTTTCAGCCACCTCATTCCCTTCTATCCCTGAGTGCCCAGGAACTAGGGGTGTGCGAGTATTCGAACATCGAGCTTTTTCGAGCCGAATAGCGTCCTATTCGGCTCGGCTCGTGATTTTCAAAAAGTTCGAAATGTTCGAGCCGAATACTTATTGAACTAGCAAATAAAAATTAAATTAATAAATACGGAACTAACTTTCATTTAAATTTACTCTCCGTTTCATAATTCTGTCTTGATAAGCAAGAACCTCAGCTCAGTCAAGACGCAATGATTATCGATCGTAATTTTGAGGAAACTACCACCTATCGCGTTGTCTTTCCAACACAACTATTCGTATCGTAATATACAACGCAGTTCGAGTGCGTGATTGGCTAAGTCGCTATGACGACACACGGTTGCCACGGCAACCTACATTGCGCACTGAGCACTGCGCCTTGTGTGGGAGGGGAGATTATACCAACAAACTATTTCAGGAATTCTATTTTGGGACGGATGAAAGATAAGGAAGAAACAAAGGTGGTCACGTGTGCAAATGTAGTGGGCGACACAATAAGGCTGTAAACGAGTATCGTCGTGTCGTTGTTCCTTGTTTGTTTACTTTTTAAGATTCTTTATCAAACGCCCCTATCTGCTATCTCTCTTTCTCTCTCTCTCTAACAATGTACTGATTAAACAAGATTGTGGTTGACGACTTTTCTACTTAAGTTTCCCTGCGGTTATTTTAGTTCAATCAATCCCATAACCTTTCTAATGTTTATCAAAATAATTAATTAATATGTTTTGTATTTTATTTCCTTTAAACCAACCCCTATTTACCATCTGTATTTTATAGAATAAAATGTTTGTTTATAAATTTTGACTAGCCACACAATTTTGTACCTATTTTATTTTGTATAAAAGTAACAGTTACTTTGAGGATTATATATATATCAATAAGTGGCGCGTGCTGTAATGAGTGCTTTTTATTTTCAAAATAAGTAATGAGTTATTAACTTTTGATAGTACGGGTCATTAAATACCATAATGTGATGTAGTTTCCTATTTGTATCTTGCAAATAATAATAATTGATAGTTAATTCTGGAAATGAAAAATAGTGATCGCATTCATAAACCTGTTGTCAAAACAGCAACGAGGGTGTAAGGGTTAAAGAGTTTATTGTTTCAGACGCAAGGGTGTTTCAAGGACAAAGTGTTGGGCCACCCGGATGGGGGGGGGAGGGGGCGGTGAGACTGTGTGAAGGGGAGGAAACTGGTTTTGGCTATTTATTGATTAGTTCGCCGACCCTTCTAGATGACAAAATTGAGTGACAGTGTTAAATCATCGTGTTCTGCATTTCATTTCTTGTTTACTTTGTGTGTTATTCTATTAATTCTAGTGCTTTGGTCTATTTCCTCTATATGTCAATTATATATTTTTTAATATATAAGTAAAACTTGTCTCTCCACCTTTTTGGATCCAAACCAACCATGTTCTTTTTTGATTAATAGGATTCATTTAGAGGTGTGCGGATTTCCGAAAAATCGGGTCGGATTCGGTTCGGATATCCGTATCCAAACCGGGCCCAAATTCGATATCCGACACTATCCGTTATTTATCCGACTTTTTCGGATATACAATATATTTTGACGTTTTGGACAGAAAACTAAATCTCCATAGCTACCATTAGTTTCCCAGGACAAAATTACAGCAATACGTTTCCAACGACCTAACAGCAAACGGCAAAGAAGCCGTATGATGCAATACTGATAACTAGTTTAGTCGTTATCGGCTGTTTTGCTTTACGATTAGATTCGTCTGGAATGAACAGGCATAAAGCAAAAAAGAACTACCATGGTCAAATAAAAGTCAACTCGTGCTTGTCTCGCTCCTGATACTAGGGGCGCTGTAATAGTTTATTTACAGTACTGTTACAGTACTGTAAAGATAACAACGTCATTCTTTCTCTTTGTTCTTCTATTTCTTGGGTTTCCCTTCATCACGCATTCAACATGTTGTCATGGTTACTAATCACCCATGTCGTTATCAGCTTTTGTGACATAGCGCACAGCATGGGGTATAACGTGACGAAAATCGGTTAATTTTTACCTACCAATTAAGTACTACTTTATTGGTATTTGGTACTGTATTAATAATCGGTCAAAATGGCCGATTTTTGTCAAATTTTACACCAAGTTTATTGAAATTTCAAGGTGAATGTTAATAAAACAATTATTACCAAATATTTGTATTCATTTAAAAGATTGATTTGTTGTATTGGGTTCCCCACTGAGTGCAGCCGAGCGGCACTAATGAGGGTCGGACCTTCTTGCGGGTGAACAATAGACGGCTTATCAGACCCACCCCTCCCCCGTGGTCTGGAGAAAGCTTGTAAACAAACTATTGCACAAGCCATTGGGCTGTTTCAACATTAATTTTTACAAATGAACTGCGATGTTTTAAAAACAAAAACAATAATTTGGGACCATACTGCAACACATTCACTGCTAATGATATGTAATACTTTTATAAATGGCTAAAAAACATAAACATTAACATGATCATGTTAATTGAGTGACAATATATCTTTAATTAAATAAATTTTATACTATAAATTGTGGATTAAAATATATTATGTAATTATATACATCATGTATTATATATAGGCTAATATACTTATGACGCACAAGTGCGTCATTAGCAGTGAACGTGTTTTAACAATAATGGACTGCAATTATTGTTAAACATACAATCCATTTTTACATTAAACAAAAATATTTTGTGCATGGAAAACAACAAGAATAATCACGTGTTTTTAAATTTATTTTGTATTTATTGATACAAAATAGAATTAAATATTCATAGTAGTTACAATATACATATGTAATCGACTTGCTAGTTGTTTTGTCGTCATTCAAGGTCGCGTTGCTGTTCTGTCATGAAAGACAATCTGATTGTCTCAGTCTGCACTGCATATCTCTTCAGGCCTTCAATCGATATCCTTTTATTTCTTGCATCTTCATTTAGTTCAGTTCAGTTCTTATCGTGATTATCTACTATTTGATGTCTTGACAATTCTCAATGTTTTTAAACATATTAAAATAACATTGTGTTTATTTAAAAATTGACTGAACATTATTATTGTTATGCACTTTTTTAAGAAAAAAAAAAGTTTAATAATTAAGATAAGGTTAGGCCTTTGCTAGGAAAAGCTCGGCTCGAAAAAGCTCGAGCTCGAACATTTTTTAAAAAGCTCGGCTCGGCTCGGCTCGAGGTTGAAAATCACTATTCGCACACCCCTACCAGGAACCCAACAGAGTGTTACCTTGTTGCGCCTGCCCAGGTTGCATACTGCAGAGAGGCAGTCCCTGACCACCTTGGAATTGAATTCGTAGGAGTCAAGCGCTTTGAGCGCAGCCTGGCTGTCTGTAAAAATGGAAATGTTGATGTCCCTGAAGCCTAGCCTCAGGTTCTCCCTAGCAAATTTCATTATCACAGTCATTTCGGCCTGGAACACAGTTGGGTGAGTGCCCATAGGAAGACAAATGTCCACCCCGTTCTGCACTCCATGAATTCCAGCCCCTGTCCCACTGCTTACCTTTGAACCATCAGTATACCATTCAAGGTCGCCTTGTGGAAGAAGATTCCCACCCAACATCCACTCATCCCTGGATGGAAGAAGGACGGTGAATGGCCTGGCGAAGAAGAATCGAATCGGCATGTGGTCTGAGGGCATGTCCAGTAACTCCCCTCTTACCATCTGAGTGATCCGAGAGTGACCTCGGGATCCTCCAACATCCAACCAAAGATTTTCGCACTGGAGTCTGTAGGTAGGTTGATATGCACATCACATTACAGACCTTTTGAGTAAAATAGCCATTTTCTTGAGTCTGCCATTTTGAATCTTTGAACCGCTGCCCTTTTTTACTCAGTTGATATTTTGAGCTCAAATTCTACTAATAAAGACATTAAATTGGATGTGCATATCAACCTGTGCTAACGTTTAAGATTTTCTTCCTACTTCTAGAAGGCCCGCCTCCTGAGGAAGTAGCGTACGGCTGAATAATGATTTAAAATGATTGTAACGCCCAGTAACCTTTTGTAGGTCGTGTCTTTATTATTTTTTAAATATTTAACTGTTTGGAACTTTTGATCCACCCTGTATATATATAATTACCCATCTGATTTGGTGATATATAATATTTCAGGAGTCAATTAATCTTATCCATGTGTTTCTAAATCTATAAATTATTTAAGCAAGTTTAAACACTATATTCTTAATGTGGTGTGAAAAAATCTAATAATTACTAAACAAATACAGTAAAACCCCTCATATCCGACCTAGGTATAACCGACTCCTCGGGATATCTGACCTAGTGTCCAACCGTATACTTGTTTCCTGTCTGGAAGCGTGATCGGTTACCAAAAAGGCCGATCGCGGATGTTACAGTAATCACTGCAGATTATCACCACTGTCGCTGATTACGGGTGTTGCCGCCATCACGGGAGACAGTTACCGAAGTTGCAGAGACTACAAGCAACGCTCACGGGTGTTGCCACCGTTGCAGGAAACGATTACAGAAGTCGCGAAGACACAAGTTATGCTTACAGCTGTTGTCATGGCCGTGGGATACGACTACTGATGTCGCGGAGACTGCAGTTTATGCACCTCCCAATATCCGACCTTTTGGCCGTTCTGACCACGGCCCAATTCCGTCATGGTCGTATATGAGGAGTTCTACGTTCTACTGTAATTATTTTATTCTGTTTTTTAACTTTTTTTAAATATCACATCCAATAATATTCTTTTGTTCCAGGTTATTGCTACCATATGAAAGGCATGTTGCTCCCAACCGAACGAAAAATGCTGCTTTGGCTAAGTTGAAGAAGTATGAAGAAATCAGTATTACAGAAAAATCATCATACATGAATGTAAGGCATACTACTACTCTTATTCTTCACATATGGCATTTATTATTGTTTATCTTTCGTATGTTTTTAAATTACTCTACTTACTTACCACTTTACTTCTTTGATTACAGCGTTATCAAAGAATCGTCGATACTCGATTCATTGTACTCGAAACTTCGCTTCGTTGTACTCAATACTTCGCTTCATTGTATTCTATACCGATTCTGAAAAAAGAGATTAATTATGATGCAAAACTCGACTGACATTGAAGATTGTAATGGGTTGCACATCATTAGTTTGTTTTTGGAATACTCTGAAGTCAGCTAATACAAATAAGCTCACATTTCTCACATTTGTAATTGTTTTAAAATCCAAAATAGCGTCCCTTTTCATTTCACAATGTGTTCACTGTTCAACTAACAACTAGTAGAACACTAGTTGAATGATAGAGGCTTATCACTTTGCGCCATGTTGTCAAATGTTGCCAGATTGGCCGGATGGTACAAACATTGAATATAATACACACAAAGTGTATACAGTCAATGGTACTAGTATAACTTGTGATTGGCTTGATGTTTATTTTGTGAGTAGGTAAAGAGCTTGATAACTTGTATAATATCTTATTATATCATATCATACTTATCATATCTTGATTATATTGACACAATATCATAAACACACTACGTGGGTATATTTGTAATCAATGGTTGATCCTTTAAGGTTCTAAGTGTTGTGAGAACAGTTTATTTCATAACACCTGTTAATTTCTATTAATTATTATCATATGTTTATTTGTTATTCTATGTTTGTAATAAGGTAAATAAAGTTAGTTGAGTTTGAGTTATGACATAAAACAGTGCATTCACTTAATTCTTAGTAAAATAGTACATGGTGGCAGCGGTTTAGAGCTATGCCTCAGAAGAGAAATCCAAGAAGGAAACAATCTGACTATGAAGATAATGAAAATGAAAGAAGCAGAGAAAATGAATACAGCAATTCAACTAAGAAGTCAATCATTGTATCAAACACTCATTCAGTTATTCAACCTCCAGCTAGTTTCTCCTTTGTACCAGCAGATTGGCCAAGATGGAAAACACGATTTCAAAGATATCGGTCAGCATCTGGGCTATCTGAAGAGTCTGAGAACAAACAAATCAACACTCTTATATACACATTAGGTGAGAAAGCTGATGGGATTTTTGCATCTTTTAATTTAGCAACCGAATCAACGCTAACATTTGAAGAAGTCTTAGATTTATTTGACAAACATTTTATTCCACGGAGGAACTTAATTTTTGAAAGAGCAAAGTTTTTGAAGAGACAACAAAAAATTAATGAAACAGTTGAAGAGTTTATAGTTAGTCTCCATTCCTTGGCTAGAACCTGTGACTGGGGTTCACTTAATGATGAAATGGTGTTGATGGTACTAATACTGGGTTTAAATGATGAGAAACTTAGGCTAGGATTATACTAGGACGCTGGCGTCCGAGAGGCCAGCGTCCGGGACGCTAGCGGGGCATTAAATCAAATGGGGGCGATTATACTATGGATGCTAGCGTCGGAAGCTAAAAAAAGCCACCGAAAGCTCGAAATGATTACCGTAGGTGGCATGGTAAAACGTAGGCCCGGGACCGATTTACTTTTTCATTTTGATGTCGCCAGAGGCCAAAAACACCATCCGTTCGTATAGATTTGAATATTATATATATATATATATATATATGTCTGTAAACGCGATAACTGGAGTAACTTTTGTTCTATTTTGAAAAAAAATGGTTTTAAGGTGAAGGGTGGGATAAATTTGAATGAGTTCGCGAACCAGCATGAACATACCTTGGAAACGGGGTTTATGTGCTAAAAAGGGGGGTTTGTCATTTTTGACCCATAAAACTAAAAAATTCACAATTTCTCTCTAGATAATTTTAATGAGCTTAAAAACAAATAATTTAGTACCTATATTTAAGTGTTTTTGTACTGTTATTAGTTATGGAAAAAATTTAAATACTAAAATGTTAACTATTAAATGAGTAAATACCCCCGCCGCAGCAAACCTGACGCCTGAAGCGAATTTCCATTTGGCTGAATTGATTTTCAATTGATCTATTTAAATAACATTAGGTTTAACGAGTACCTAGGTTTGCTGCTACAAGGAAACTAATAAAGTGTGTGTTTTAAGTAAAATAATTATTGCTTAGTATAAAATGAATATATTTGCCAAGTTTGATCAAAAGATATCCATAAACAAGCAAACTACAACATTTTACAATATTCTCCATAAGAATAACATGGGAATTTTAAATTTACCATTTTTTTAAGTTTTCTCCGTAACCAATAACCGTACAAAAACACTTTGTTATACTGAATTGTTTGTTTTTTTAAGCTCTTTAAGAAGGTTTAGAGAAAAATTGGGAAATTTTGTGTTTTGAGGGTCAAAAGTGAGAAAAACCAATTTTTACCCCATAAAACCCCCCATAAAACCCTGTTCCCATGGTCCGATCATGGTGGATCGCGAACTCATTCAAGTTTATCCCGCCTTACACCTTCAAACCAAATTTCATCAAAATTGGATAAAAATTACTCAAGTTATCGTGTTCACGGACACATATATCTATATAAATAAAATTAGAGTTTTGTCTGTACATTGCTTAGAATAATGAACTTTTTGGTTATTTTTACATTTCATAGGTCCGAGAAACCGAATCAAACCTTATCTCAATTTCTGTCTGTCTGTCTGTCTGTCTGTCTGTCTGTCTATCTGTCATTCTCTTGGTAACGCTAAAATACGCACTTTATTACAACTACTCCTCAATAACTATAGCACTGTCCCGCCTGAAACTTATTTTCCAAATACTATACATATATGAGATGGTTTTAGACGTATTTCATCGAATATGAGACAGTTAGATATTTAACAGTAAACCCTTGAAAATCAAGTTTTTGTCGATTTTTGACGTGGAATTTCTGGAAGCCCATGTTAACCTTATGAGAAATGAAATTATTGAATCTTAACAGCTGTTTCAATTAAACAAGTTGGTTCTGTTCTGTGATGTTCAATAGCATTAAAGTTACAAGGATTACCAACAGGGTGCAGCACTAGCACTATTATTTCTTTTACATTTATGACAACAGCTAATTTGCAACCTGGAGGCGAGTGAGCGTAGCGAACGAGCTAACCTGAAGGCAAGTGAGCGTAGCGAACGAGCTAACCTGAAGGAAAGTGAGCGCAGCGAACGAGCTCCAACATACAGGTGAGTGAGCGTAGCGAACGAACTTCAACCAGGACGTGATTGAGCCATGCAAACGAGATCAGATAGTAAAAATAAAAGTAAGCCTACCGTTATAGGATCGACCGGCAGACACAGAGGTAATTTAACCTTTTATTGATTGTCATACCGATCCGGAACAACAAAAAACAACATAAAATGAAGCTATGTATAATAGTTTGGCCAGCATATCTTAAAATATGCAAACCAACTGCTGTTCGTTATATAAGAAGGTTTCAACTGAATATTATAAGATCCCCGTGCGTAGAACGGGTACACAGCTAGTATATATATATATACATATATAAAAATTTGAACGAGTGGTGTTTTTGGCCTCTGGGGACATCAAAATGAAAAAGTAAATCGGTCCCGGGCCTAAGTCTTACCATGAGACCTACGGTAATAGCTACTTCCCTATAGGGAAATTCGCTAAAAAGAGTATATTAAAATTGCCATGTTATTCTTATAGAAAATGTTGTTAAGTGTTGGAATTTGCTTGTGTATGGATATATTTCGATTAAACTTGGCCAATTTGTTTTATACTAAGCTAATAATACAGTATTTTACTAAAAAACACACTTTATTAGCCCCCTTAAAGCATAAAACCTTGGTACTCGTTAAACCTAATGCTATTTAATGTTACAAAAAGTGACTAAACATTGAAATAAAATGGCAGTCCGAGAGGCTAGCGTCCCAACACAAATCACGTAATTTATCGGCTCGAAGTGGGACGCTAGCGTCCCGGACGCCAGCCTCTCGGACGCTAGCGTCCTAGTATAATCCTAGCCTTAGTGATCGCTTGTTGCTAGATCCCGAGATGAATTTAGACAAGGCCATTACAGTAATAAGACATGCAGATAACGTAAAGAAAGAGAAGGCAGATTTATGTGATGAGAAAAGAGTTCAAATTGAAGCAACTACGTCATCGAGTTCAAACCAAAATCAAGGATATAGGTTTCGTCTAAAGAAACAAGAATACCCAGCGCAATGTATCTGGTGTGGTTATAAACCGTCCCATCCAAGAAGCACGTGTCCAGCAAAAAGCGCAACATGTAACTTATGCAAAAAGATTGGTCACTTTTCGAAGGTCTGCAGATCTAAAGAAGCACAGGAAGTAACTGACGAAAATGAAGTAAGTGAACTTGGACCTTCAAATAATAAAATATTCATAGGTACACTTGGGGATGGGTCAAAATGTAAGCCCTGGAAACTAGAATTAGCATTTGAGGGAAAACCACAAACGTTTAAAATTAATTCAGGGGCAGATGTAACAGTAATTCCCCCTGGCATAGTTGATCCAAGTAGGATCCAGCCGACTCTAGTTGAGTTGTTTGGGGCTGGTAGAACAAAATTAGAAACTGTAGGTTGTGTTAGAGCTAATATCCAATACAGAGATGTTAAAATAAATCACATGGTATACGTAGTGAAGGGACTCATAACACCCTTGCTTGGTCGTCCAGCAATACAGGACTTGAAGATTTTAACTTTTGTTAATTCAGTTGCAGAGGTATACAGTGACTTTTTTACCGATTACCATGAAATGTTAAGTTGTCTGGGCGTCATTCCTGATCCCTACACAATAGCACTTAAGGATGGCGCAAAACCATATGCAACAACCACTCCTAGGACAGTACCTTTACCCCTAATGTGTCAAGTGAATAAAGAACTAGAAAGTATGGTACAAAATAATGTAATCACACCAGTTGAGCATGCTAATGAATGGTGCTCAGCAATGGTAGTAGTGCCTAAATCTAATGG